GAATTCTCTTACAGCAAACACAAAGTGGAAAGGCACATCAATGTACAATACTGTGGCAATTTACAAACAAAAACAACTAGACAAACTTAAGTTTGTACCCATTATATTACATTTAATGCATTGCAGGAAGTCAGTGGATGCAGGTGGCTCAGGACCGTTCCTTACGGCAGTCTATGGGGGAGATTTATGTTCAGCAGTGGACAGATAATGGATGATGATGATGATGATTATATTTAATTGTACATACACCTGTGCATAGACATAATTATAAACTTATACATACATATAAGAAAAAAATATGTATAAGAATATAGTACATTACTGCAGCGGCTAGCAACTGAGGCATTGATGGACGAACGTTCAAATGTGGGCCGAGGCGTAGCCGAGGCACACATACGTGAGTCCATTATTGCCTAGTTGTGGCCAAGGCTTGTATAGTACTTTTCTCAAACAATGCGTGGAAATCAAAAACACAATTTTACTTTTTAGGTCAAGTGACGAATAACGAACAATAATAATTTTTCACGCACCGTAATGTTCCTTTATATATATTTTTTTTTCTATAAACAGCTTTATTTATATATATATATATATGTTTCGAAGTAAAAGGTCATTCCATTTTTAAATTATAGAACAGATATGAGTTTACATAGTAATTTATCTGACCGCAAAACATGACATATATGGATTTTCATATATATATATATATTTTATAATATATAATATATATATATATATATACTATTTAAATTTTGTCGCTCCTACCGACCTCTATAATTCGATACCCTAGTCATATTAATTATTGTTTTAATGAATGAAATTGTAATTTTATATTGTATTGTTATAAAAAAAATTACTCTAAATTTGCCACCCTTTAAAACTGTCGCCTTAGGCTCAGCCTATATATATATATATATATATATATATATATATATATATATATATATATATATATATATAAAATATATTAAAATTGAAGTAGAACAAAATAAAATTAGTAAGTACTTGTTTTATAGTGGACAATTTGCATAAAATTTTAAAATTTTACATTATGAAATAGCTAGGTATTTTACGACTTCATTCCATATCGGAATCGGATATTGGATGGAGGCTTATATAGATAGTGGTACAACACTATGAATATTCATTTATTTCATTGTATTGTTTCTACGAAAAGGTAACATGCATTTCATTTGCTAGGTTTCGTGAATATAAAGGTCGCTACCAACTCTTATAACGTAGTGACTACTAGCTTTGTGTAAAATAACTAAAAAGGATGTCAAAGAATAATATAAAAAATATACAGTGGAACGTAGAACCTCTTCCTTTTTTGAAAACAATTAAAAAAGTCGCCTGGACAAGCTGAGAGCGACTCCCTCTGTTATAATTTTAATACAGAAAATAGTTTTCAACACACATCCTTAAGTTTTATTTACAAATTTTAATAATAATTAATATTTAATAATATAGTCATAAAAGAATCATTAAATTAAATCTGTTGACCCAGATATTATTCTAATAATTAACGTTTAACCAAAAATTAACAACCCATTAACGTCCCGTTGCTGGGCGCAAGTCCTAAATGTACGATATTAGTTTACTGTTGTTATACTGACCAGGTGATCTGGTATAGGATTTTGTAAATAGTTGTTTGTTAAATTTTAACCATTAAATAAAAAATGTATATACTCGTAGCCACCAGTGTCGAGGCCGCTTGAATTGGATCCAATTATTTCCAAGAAATAATAAACATTCAAATTAATACGTTTCCGAGAAAAGTGAACAATATAATTTTAACGCATATTATTATTATGATATAAAAATTCTTAAAAGGAAGTACTATTAAAACTTGGTATAAATTAAAAATAAAAAAGAGTATATGAAAAATAAAATAAAAATATCATTCTTATTTGCATTACACTCTGTAAGGTTTGAGAGATTATATTATATATGTATATTATCATATGATGTAGGCATTCCAGTTAACTGTTATTTTTAAGATCTCTGTTAAAAATGAGAAAACCTTTAATCTATACTAAAGAGAAAAAATTTGTTTGTCAATAATAATAGATAGACTCAAAAACTATTTTAACTCAAAAACCGATTTTAAAAATTCTTTCAACTATAATAAATCACATTACCAACGTGTAACATAAGTTATATATTTGGAAATTAACACGCGACAATCAAATTTTATTTAAAATAAGAATTGTTCTACAAAATAAATTCTGAATAATCCGAATCATAAATTTGTGACGATTTAAAAAACTGCCCCCTTGACCGGGATTCACTGATCGGAAATAAACGTTTATGTCCTTTCCTATCCAATATAGTATTTGTGTACCAAATTTAATAATATTTGGTTATTCCGTTTAGGCGCAAAAGAGGTAACAAACAAACAAATTTATTTTCCAATTTATAATACTTCTAATATATAATATATTAAATTAAAATTATAAAAATATTAATTATTATTTCAGCCGTTAACTGGCTACCGCTGGACATAAACCATCCTTGTAAAAGGAGTTTTGCCAGTACTTGCCACGCTTGGTAGGCGGGTTGGCAACCACAGATAGGCTTTTAGAGATGTTTTAAGAGGGATGCTGCAGCCCATCCCTCGCCCTCTCTTAATCGTCTCCTACGACACCCTCGGTAAAGGAAGGGGTAGCCGGGACCACACTGTATATTAATAAAGATTATTGTTTTTATTCTATTTATTTTAATCAAAATCTTGACAAAATCTTCTTTCTACTAATACGTGGGTTAATACGTATCCAGTGTGTTAAATTAGGATGTAACCTATCCGTGTAACAAATTTCATTCAAATCTATCCAGCCGTTTAAGTATGATGGATTATCAAATTTGTTACAGATTTTCTCATCCTACTAATATTATTAACATGAACATGAAGTTAGGTTACCATAGTTGGCTTATCAAGATAAATACATTATAAAATAACGATGGTTTCCGTGTAGGACCACGTGGTATATATTTTTTAATGGGTGATGATGGAATAGTAACCCCGCCTGCGCTATCGGTTTACGCTGGCGGGGCACCAGTGAGGGATGATAGATGAAAATGATCCTATCGTGTTGAATACACTTGGAATTCAGCACGATGGTTTCCAGGGGGGACCATGTGGAGATCGACCTGTTTGGGTATATTGCTAGTAATAAGGTCTTTAGTCTCCATTATTAACATGCCCCCCCCCCCCCTCCACGTGGTATATTACCCGTAATAGGGTTGTTATTTCCTTTCCCCTTATTGAGCAGTTGAAACGTCAAGATGATACTAACACATGATACATATAAAAACAGGTAAACAAACTTATTTTCACATTTATAAAATATAAAAGAATAAGGATGTTTTTCCATGAAAAATACTTAATATTCTTTAACTCTACATATACATATATATTTTTACAACACACGAGTAAATCTTCAAATCTAACGAGAATTGGGCAACAGAGCTCTCAATTTTATTGGATTATTATGTAGGCAATGTACTGTGGCATAGGTGCCAGCTGGTACACGTGTACGCCATCTGTCGCGTACAGTTGTCGACGAAAATATAACAATATAAGAAACTCTGGGCGTAGTTTAGCCATTATTATTTACATGAGCTTAGCAAAAAAGGACTAAACACATAAAATTATCAAAAATAAGATAATTGTACTAAATGGTGATAAATGGTATATGTCTGTGTTAATAGAACATACAGGACATAATAAAAAATTACTGTTTTGCTGTAATTTTTACAGAAATACTCTTTAAAATAAATTTATAACAAACCGAAATATTTTTTATTTGTACTAAGTACTACTTGATCAATAACAGATAGATCGTCAGTTATTCCTTAGATAAAATTTAAGTTCTCTATAAACAGACCACAGGAAGTTGATAATCTTATACAATTTTGGTACCATTATCTTATTTCTGACAATTTTGTGGGTTGAATCCTTTCTGCTAAATGCTAATATCCCATTAATAAAGTTTTTGTTTCATAGCTACTGAGTATAATAACTATTTATGTTATAATAATTACTTGTTCGTATGTCATATCATATTTTAAAACTGATATATTTTCAAGAAATTAAGGCTACCTCAATTTCTTGAAAATATATCTTTTTTTGTTTTTTATACCCAGCTAAACAATTAAATACAGAAAGCTTATGTGTTCACAGAAAACCAATATCTCAAGTCCCTACTAATACATGTATTATATTTTACTTAGATTACAGAACAAAAGATTTTAGAAGTATTAGGTACGTTTGTATGAAAAGAACAAAAATAGGTTAGTTTTACAAAATATGGACATATAGCTGAATGTATGTATGGATAGGTGAATTCCAAATGCGATCGGACAATAATTTTTTTTTTATTACTAAGAAATAAAATAATCTGAGAGTATAATTAGTAGAAAATAATGCTTTGAAAGGGAGTCTTCATATAAAAGTCGTCTGCTAAGTACTTGCTTGCTTTCATACTCTTAACTAACGTAAATTCTCTGTCATATACTGCCCTTCAAATCGAACATACAGGCATGCAAGCACGCTTCACGTCACGTCAGAAACACGAGTTGGATCAAGGTACCTTTGAAATTATAGAGTACAAAGGCATAACGTCATAGTTCTCATGTCATGATCGATTGTTTGGTACTTCATCATATATTAATAGCTGACTAATAGGTACAAATGAAATTTCGTAAAGGGGTGGTTTTATTTTAAGAATTTAGGTACTTTTTGTTCCCATTTATTTGAACAAAGTCGCAGGTTAATAGTAGTAAACTAATATTATAAAGAGGAAAGATTGTATTTTGTTTGTAGAGCATTAAGTCAAAAAGTTCTCAACCGATTTTAAAAATTCTTTTACCTATAGACAGCTACATCATCAATTAATAACATGGGCTGTATTTTATCTTACATATTTTTCTATCAGGTCGCTAGTAATAAATAAATTTGATTTAAAAAATAAAACATGAAAATATGGCGTCAACAGTACCCGTAATGAAGAAATGTTTCGGGGAAGCGTGGTATGGCGCATGTCACACGCGTCGCCGCTTCGGGGAACACTCGATTATCTCGATTCATATCGATTCGTTCCTATGCGGGTGAGAAATAGTCCATTGTTATTTGTTCGACGGAAAGGCATGAGTGAACGAATTTTACTGGGTAATATCTTTTGTGGATATGCGTTCGTTTAAATTACGTTTATTGATTTAGTTTCGACTCGGTATATCTATCTTTTTCAAGTAATTTTTTGAGCATTGATAGTAATGTTTGCCGAATCGTGACAACATTGGAATTATCAGTTAATTTTAAAAAAAATACTAGTATCTGTGCTAATATGTATAATAATAATATAATAAAGGAAAATTGCTATGAGGGGTCTTCGTAAGAGTAATAGAATCCAATACAGTATATTATCTGCATATTTGTTCCAGTATCACATGTAAACTACTGCACAAATTGGATGCAAAGTTGCCTTTCTGTAGGTATAATTTAAAATTTGGTGTATAATTACGACGGTTACCACTTTCCATCAGGTGGGCCGCCAGCTTGTTTGCCATTCTAAGTTGTATAAAAAAAAATATCTTAATACGCCACCTAGAAATGGTTTACTACTTCTTTAATCCAAGCATACGAAGTTTTTAGTATTTTTCATTATTTAAAAAGTCCTTTGATAGCAAATTAAAATGTTAATAATATAAATATACCATTAAAATTGTGGCTTCGTTCCGAATGGTTTCTATATTACATAAGTGAATAAACAGGATGCCACGTTCTAAATTTAAATATTTTCAATGTAAGATATCTATGACACATCTCATAGTTTATCAAGGTATATGTTCACGACTAAAACCATTTTTTTGCGGAGAATAATTACTTGTATCTATATCGAAGTATGATGTGATGAGAATCGAGACAGTACGTAGGTAAATAACCGCTGACCTTTTCGAATTGCTAAAGAAAAAGACACTTCCAATTTATTTTTATCTCGTACCAAAACAAGAATGCTTGCGAAGTCAAATAACGTTACATTTTTTCGCGCCCATAAAAATGTAATTAGGTATTCATTCATACGACGCTCAGAAAGGGCACGAGAATATAAATAGGTAGATTGCTAGAGCGTAAGTAATCTATTTATATCATTGAAGTAATTTTGTTACGTACGCATGTACAATATACACATATTCAAATACACAGAATCAAATAAAGAATATATTTATACATATATTCTTTATTTGATTTTGCTTGCAACTTCGTACGTATGGATTAGGTACTGAAGTACTTACATAATCACTTTTACACATTTTCACATATTGCGTATCAAGATAAGGCATATACCACATTTTAAGTTAAATCTTTAGGAACACAATTATAAAAAGCACATTCGATTTGATGTAGTTTCTGCGTGATGCCTAAATAAATATACAAACAGGCAGACGATCCGACAAAAATCTAATATTATTTTGTTTTTTGTTGTTCTTATTAAGACTCCTTATATCTATCTATCGTTTTTTTTTTAATATCTCCTATGTACAGATATCGTCCAGTTTAAATTTTTTTAAACATTAGATTACTAAATGACATGATGATGAAATTGACAATGATTTCCGGTATTCGGACCACAATATAATGAAGCCGGTGTAATTAAATGCAGAAGCTATAAAACATTCTGTTTTGTAATGAATTCCATCTAATGCACTCGTATAAAAACTAACAATAACTGATATTTATCAGAGAATCTAATATGCTTATAAATAAATAGTAACACAGATTAAAGAAACAAAAAATAATAACGTAATATTTATAATCATAATAAATACACCATTTTCACTTTCGCACTACAATATTCAATGAATATTTATAAAGAAAACATAACAAAACAACGTTCATTTTCGCATGAAATTTTACTTATTACAACTGGTAACACCTGTTGCACACACATTGTATGTACTGGGTGCCTACTATTTGCCTATGGCATCCGAAATGGGCTGGCGAAGCATTCCTGAATGTTAATGAAGCAACTAAGACCTAAACGTTTTATGGTTACCAACCGTCTATACTATCTTAGTTGATAGAATGTACAATTGCATTCGATCCGTTGCTAACGATACACTATACCATCGTTTCTCGATCGGGGGGTCGTGACCCTTGGAGGTTAATCTTTTGGAGGAAACAGTAAAGATTATCTATTTCGTTTGATAAAAAAATGCTGGATAAAACTACGAATATGTAAATTAAAGAACAATGTTGATGTAGGTATGTCAAACTTGAGGTAAGTGGGGTAAGTGGATTGTTAGTAATAGCATCTTTTAGATTTATTGCTGGCAAAACTTTGTTGACTTACATGCGGTTCCCTCTGGAATACAACGTGATTGATTTTTGGTAAATTCATGGTAATGGGCCAAACCGACTTAGTTTTATCCTTACCGGTATTTCGTAAGCATTAACAGATTGTTTAAGTGGAGTTATCATTCTACCTAATCCAAAACTTCGTATATGTAGATTTTAAAAGTAGGAAAATCAAGGAAATAGATAAAATCTGTAGCGTATAAAGATAAATCATACACCAGTTTCTGAGTTAGATCTTCAGAAACACATCTCTGAAAACCGCATTCAATTTGTTGCAGTAGTTTTTGACTGACTTCAGAATAAATATACAGATAGTCAGAAATTCTAAAAATATTGGTTTGGCCTCTCTATTGCTTTTATTAAAACCCCTTGCATAAAATTTTCGTAAATGTCTCTTATGTACAGACACCATCCACTCCAGTATCATCCACAGATATCATCCACTCCACGCTCTTCACTGTCAGTTATTACCAGCAACCCTACGTATATCATCACTCCACCCAGCTGCAAGTCGTCCAACACTACGATTGCCGAGTCGCGGTCTCCACTCTTGAACACGTCTATTCCGACGGTTATGGGTTCTATCAGTCTACCGCCACTTCAGCTTGCAAATTCATAAAGCTATTTCGGTAATTTTGGTCCTCTGGTGAATTACTTTGTATCAGATTCGATCCCTTGGAAAAACTCCAAACATAGGTGAACTAGTCTTATCATTAGTATCCACATATGTCATCACAGGTAGGATACACATCAGTGCATTAAGATGTTACTGGATGAATCACGATTATTTTGTTTAAAAGTCTTTTTCCACTGCACGCCGAATACAGCATACCGTTTTTGTATTCACGTAAACTCCAGTCTAAATATGCAACATAACCTCCCCTATAAGAGGGGTTTTGCTAGTAGTAGCTTGGCAGGCAGTAGACATCCACAGGCGGTTTGGCAACCGCAGTTTAACTTTTGATAATGTTTTAAGAGGGCGCTGCTGCCCATCCCTCTACCATAAGCTCCCTTAGTCTCTTCTTACGACACCCACAGGAAAGGTAAGGTGGCATATTCTATGCCGAAACCTACACGGCCAAATAAGTGTAATCTTTATTAAAGATTGTATCAAGGCATATCGGAATGTTTGACAAGTACATAAAGCAATTTTGGACATATGGGAAGGAACACGGTTGCTAGTGTGAAAAAAATATTCACAGGGCAATCGTTTGATTAATCTAGTTACTTGTACAATGATTACTGGTTTAAATTTACATGAAATATCTTATCTTTTTGTCGATAAGAAGTTTATTATCGGTAGATAGTACAATTAAAATTTGAATTTAGGTTATTCGATCTAAGCAATCTATTTCTTTTTTTGGATGGGTTTCCGCTTCAAGCTTTCCAGAAACTTATGGTGAAGTTACTACTTACTAAATATTTATCTATTTACTTTTATACTTACCCATAGCAATACAAGCAGATTGCAGTATGTAATAAATAAATAAAGATAAGATAATGCTTGCGTTAATGGAGAATATTTACGTGTATTGATTCTCGGATTCTTAGAAAGGCTTTCAGTCAGAGTGGTACTTAGTTGACAACGAAAAATTTTGGTCGACCTTATGTATATTCTACTTACATTGTATCAAATTTATTGCAATTGTTAGTTTATATTGTGCAATATAAAATGTAGAAAAAAATCTGACTATGCATTTATAAATTATCAGTAATCTTTCTACTAAACACGTAAATCAATTCTATTATTCTTGAAATAAGTATAATATATACTTAAAAAACTTTTGACAATAAAGTTACATTAAAATAGACCCAAAAGTGTTTGTATATCATCATTTTTCAGACTTTTCTATTTTGGTCCTGATAAAAACTTTCTTCTTTCTTTCCACTTTTATATACAAACAATCGTTTGTTTGCCGTAAAAACTAGCTGGCTAACTGGCTCTTAGCCGCAACAGAATATCAGTGTTTTGCTCTTTTGGGGGCAAACTATTAAATTGAGTTTTAATCATTTTGAACGAAGCACACGCATGAAAGAAGAAAATTGATACTTGTTTTATATATTTTGCAATTTTTCTATATGAACTCTTTTATCTCTTTCAACTGTGCATGTCTGTTGTTATTTATGTGCTGTAAGTAATGCAAATAAATTATATAACTATCTATAAAAAACTCTTTCACCTTTTATTACTGGCCTTCTATTGTCCTTTGTTCCTTTAGTTGCTTCGTACTTATTCTTATATTCCCAGTAAGTACATGGGAATAGATTACAGTACATCATCATTCCTTTTCATTTTCTATCATTTAGTTGTTTTAAATACCTTAAATTTATTTTTAATTGTTTATTGTAACGTTGTAAGTACTTTGTTTATGTACAAAGTTAGTTACATGCGTGTGTTGTAAATAGGTTTCAAATATTAAATTGAAATAATCATGAAAATTTTACATTCATAATACATATTTTTGGACTACATGGACGTATGTTACATGGACCTGATTGAGGATCAAATCAAAAATCTATACTGTATGAGCAAGGTGTAATTAAGCATAAAATATTTACTGTAGGTTGGATTGTTCTAAATCCTAGATAGCACGTTAAGTTAAGCTTGAAATGTCTGTAGGTAACATTGTTCTACATAATGTTAACCGTAACACCCTCATTAATGTTTCTGGTTCCCTTTTTGATAATGTGAATATTATGTTACCTAGCCGCCTATGGCTCGCTTGGTGTAGCCCCGCTCCCATCGTACAAAATAGATTAAGAAGTGAATGAACTCTCCATCATTTATTACCTCCATATCAGACTGTGGGGCGGGCTCTAGCAATGATTGATGGATAGACACTACAAGTTACCGAATTTAACATAGTTGTCGGTCACAGAGGTCGTCACCCCGTGGAACGTGTTCATTCGTTTAAAGTGGATGGTGTCATGAGGTGCGACCATGGCGTGGTGGCAAACGTGCTAGCCTTGGACGGAAGAACATAAGTTTTATAAATTAGTGACAATGCTTCGAGTTTCGTGGAAGTGCCAAGGTTGGCGGTTCTTGGAAGCGATAGCGCCGCGTCGTTATTGGCGGCGAGGCAGAAACAGAGTGAAGTCGACGAGCGGGTCGTACACGAGCGGTGTGCGCTCTCAGCTGTACTTGTACTGATCGCACACATCGCGGCATCGCACACAATTCTTGATTTCGTCCCCCGCTTCGTAGCCGTCACGTCGCGGCGCGCCGGCGTGTTTACGCCGAGTTAGTTGGTTTGGCCTCGCGCTGCGCTGTTGCCCAACCGAACTGAACTCAGTCGACTTCTGTATACGAGAGAGGAGTGTTAACGCTGCGGCGGTTGCTCGCCGAACTTTCACCTCCAGTTGCGATATGGTTATCTGTGATAAATACACCAACATTGAGTGAAATTGAATGTGCGCGTTCTTAGAAAGCGTTTCTGTTACGGCACGCGGACGGACGCCCGCCGGCGTCGTCGATTTCTGCAAATTAATTTCTCCAGTGCACTCGGTTTCTACGAAACTGTTTATAAAGAGTTTACCGAGAAGCGAAACGGCCGTAAAGTGGATTTGAGGAAATATAAGTAATTATAAGTGATCCTTAGTGTTTCCGTGTTCTGTTGTTAAATAAGGCGTTTACGTTGGATCCCAATCACCCACTTAGGCCTCCAATGGTGGTTAAACTACCAGGTAAGAAAATATTTTATAAATATTACTTAGAATGTGGACAATTTTGATTTTGTCCTACCACTGACTTTACAAATTACTAATAATTTAGAATAATAGATAAAGTAAATAGACACTTATTAACTGGTGACATAGACTAGACACAAACACTTACAACACGAACCGTATTAGTAAATTAAAAAATGAACATAAAACTTATTTATATTTACAAAAGTCTATTACAAACGAAAGCCCAATAAGACTAACGATATTGTTTACGGACGAGTGAAGACTGAATATTAATAATAATAATGATGATGACCAACAAGTGGCGCCGGCGTTAGGTCACTTGGGTTCAAGTGAACTACCTACGTCCTCACTTGCATATGATAATAAAACACTGATTGTCTTGTTATGTGAACAAGTGTAGTTTTGTTAGTCATTGATAATCAAGAAAACATTATACAGGATGAATATGAAATCATTAAATATTTTTAAGGACAATTTGGAAATTGAAAAAATTATAAAGAATTTTCTAATCTAATGTTAGAAGACTAAACAATTTACCACAATAAAAGTTAAAAACAAAGATTTGATTAGGTACATTTTTGTGGATTAATATTTTTTTTTATCAAAAATACAGATTCAGTCTTACAAATAAAATAATACTTTAAAAGGATGCAAATTATTTCAATTTCATACTGCATATTATGATATTACAAATGATAATCTTTTACTATTAGAAAATAATTTAACTTGTAATTTATTTAATTTGAAATTAAATAAAATTATCCATATTGAAATGAAATTATACATATTTGAAACAAAATTAATTTAAGCACGAAATATATCAAGAACAACAAATAAGTAGTTTTACCGTAAAATATTTTATTATTTTATGTAGATAATAGGCAGCCATTTATATTCCACGAAACACTTTAAAGTTACCATAAAATTATGAATTATTGAGCTCATTTTATGTAACTATTGTTTCAGTAATTTTCTTTACATTATAGTTTTTATATAAGAATGATAAGACTGCATATATTTATATTGGTTGGTGCATAGTATTCATCTGCTGATGAATTTTGTGGCGGTCGTGTTTTTTTTCATTTTTTTTTTTAATGGATGATAATGGAATTGTAACCCCACCCGCGCTATCGGTATACACCGGCGGGGCACCAGTGCAGAATGATAGGTGAGGATGAAGCAGGTCAGTTGGCCCATCGTGACGAATTCAACAAGAATTATTCACGATGGTTTCCAGAGGGAACCACGTGGAGGCCGACCTAATAGGGTATATTGCTAGCAATGGGGCTGTCAAACTCCATTGCTAACAATCCTTTTCTCCCTTGGCGACCGTGTTACTATACTGGTAACTGGTGTCAACATAGTAGACTGCACTACATTGCAATTCACTTCCTTTGAAAACAATTAGCGACTTTATCACGCGATAATACAATCATTTCCTGAAAACACTGAACGGTTAGAATTATTAATTAATAACACCAGTATTAATGTAGTTGTTATTTTTGCACATTATAAACATAATCATTAATTTAATTCTAATTAAATTACCATTTATAGTTGAATATCTAGTTTGTCAACAACAACTACATACTTAGTCAAATTTAACAAATTGTATACAGCGTAAATGATGACAGTAATATGTGAAGCAGTAGATGTTATTAGATAGATTTAACCATAAATCTGTTCTTTCTGTATACATTATTTGGAATAATATAGAAGAGGAAAGAAAGATTAAGATAAAAAGCTTGCTGACGAAGTGCCGTTACAACTAGATAATAAAAAAATAGACAATATAAAACGCAAAACAGAACAAGTTAATATAATTTTCAACAAAAATCAATAATAATTTGTATACTTTAGATAGTGGATAATAAAATTAATAGAGTATTTTCAAAAATGGAGTCTATATGTAATGTAGTCTACTGTTTCAAATAATACAACCTAGAGCTTCGATATGAGGTAATTAACATAAAGACGTTAAAAAGGAACAGATATTTTGCGTCTATTGATAGATGTTAAACAGTACTAATAGATAAATGATTTTGAAAAAAGAAACTTCCAATAACCAACAAACGGGATAAGATTGTTTTGTACGAAATGCCAATGTCAACCCTCATCGCTCCAATAAGACTCACTTCTCAAAAAAAAGAATATTAAAAAAAAAAAAGATAAGTGGGAGCACAATTGTCGTTTTAAGAGAAACCATTGGAGTGTTACAAATTAAACAAAAAATATATATATACGATTTTAAGTTCTTTAATTTTTCCTCGTGTCAAATATTCTAGATTCTAGAACGACCTAAATATTTAAGTTTCTGATCACGGGCATTTAATATAGAAATAAGTGTAAACAAGTAATATTTTTTCTTAAACATAAAAAAAACTTGAATTTATTACAGGAGTACTTAATACTTTTAGCTGATCTGGAGAAAAAAGAACTTAACCTATAGATAGACGGACGATCAATGGGATAATGTTAGAAAAATTACATCGCTTGGGATACAATACTCTGAAAAGGGGGGAAAGGGATTGTTAGTAATGGAATCTGAGAATGCCATTGCTAGCAATATACCCAACCACGTCGACCTCCTCTCGGTTCCCCCTGGAAACTATCATGGTTAATTCCTGATGAATTCATCATGATGGGCTAACTGGCCCGTTTTCATTCTCATCTATTACCTTTCACTGGTGCTCCGCCAGCGTATCCCGTTAGCACAGGCGGGGTTACCATACCATTTTCAACCATCAAAAAAAAAATACTCTGAAAAATAAGTAAATAATGCAGCAAGTCTTTACACTAAACTTTGCATTTATTGCAAGTGTGAACAATAGAGTTTCCTCGGATCTGAGAGTAGGCTGAACTTTACATTACATCTTCAATATTTACATCATCTCGCCACCCACAAGTTATATTTAGTGTGTAAAATTGAAGACAAAGTACATAAACTACACCTATCTATATATCTATGATATTCTTCGAATTACAATCATACATTGTTCAGTGGTTACCAGGAATGAACAAACGAGTAAATAGTGCACGAGGACCTTCCTTTGTTTATACAATAAGGGAGACAATTGACATTTTTTGCCGTTATTTTAAGCCTGAAAGGAGCCGCTCCATTGTTAGTAGTTAATGTTCTATGACGTTGATACGATTCTTAGAAACACTTCGAATCATTTTGATGGCTCGTAAAAGTTGACTTGGAAAAATAGAATTTATTTGGTTATCTACCTACGTGATAGTTTGACCTGGCTGTCTACTTGTTGTTTACATTAACCCATTTTGTTTGACATTTTTGGAGTGACATGAATTTATTCAACCTTTTATCACTAATTAGATACCGACAAAGTTCATATTTTTTTTTTAATATAATTCGTAATTTGAATTAAGAATGTCATAAAAAATTAAGTAACCTCGTTATTTTAAATTTATTTTGTACTAGTGATCCGACCCGGTTTCGCACGATACATGCATGTTAGATATCTTACATATATATACAGCGACCAGTTACGATTTTATTACATGTATTGATTGATTTGAAAGCAGAAAAGGTCCATTAATTTTGAATATTTCTTATATTACATATAAACAATTTTCATACGATAAAATTATTCCTGTTAAAAGCCTGTTAAATTTCCATACATTGGTACGTAGCTAATTAACTTTAGCGATGTGGCATGTGGAATATGAAGTTTCCTAGAATCTAGTCATCGATATCAAGACCTTGTATTATAACTTTCAAGTATATTAGAATTTAATGTTATAACGTAAGTCTAATGTCTAGTATTATTAATTTGCAATCTACATAATATATATATGTAGGTACCTTTTGTAATATGTATATAATTTATCTTGTATATTGTTTCTGTCTCTAGTTTGAATTTTCAGTCAATAAATATTCTACTTCAATGTGAATATGTGATTACGGTATACAAAATTTATCAAAAACACTGAAACATTACTAATAGGTAATTAACAAAAAAAAAAAAAAAAAAATGATTCGGCATAGTGCGGTCAACCGTTGAGGAAAGGACTTCCTCTTTTCGGTTGACCAAATTCATCGACCACGTTCCTGTACTTGCTCAGAATCGTGTGATCATGTGTGTGACCCTAAATTATCGAGTAAAATGGTTTTGTATGACTGCTATATGATCATAAAGTGTACCTATTTGGGTATAAAGACCTCTGTCGAAGTAGGTTATCTGTGGAAATTATACTTTATAAATAGTTGATAACATCGAGACTGTTTTTAAAAGAAGAACATAGTTTGCATGAGAGCGTAACTACTAGGAAAATGCGATCTTCAAAACATTCATATGTCGGAACAAGGTAGGATGGTTGCGCCGGCGCAGGTATGCGTGTTCTGAGAACGCGCGCGTCCGTTTTTGCTCCTTTTTCGATTCGAGTTTACCGAGAATCGAATGGCCCGGTGGTGGCCCTACTCGGAACTCGTAATTAATCCTTGGAAGCCTCCGACCCGAGGGTAGTTATGAGAAATCGCCAACATTATAACTTTATTTTTTATTTATATCCTTTTTTCTGCATTGTCTCATTTTGAAAATTGCATATGGATACGTATTGTTCGCAGAAGGGCGGACAATGCCGTGCATAATGATGATGTGCGGTGATTAAATTTTATGTAGAGTTGGCCTCTGACCTTTGTTAGGAAACTGTTAAATATAAATGCGCGTCCAAGAATCCATCACATTTTATGCTCCAATGTAATAACTGAAGTTTATTACTTTTTTAGAAGAAAGATTTTTTGTATTTATCATTTATTATTTTACAGATAAATACGTGTATGTAGAGATCGTTGGTATGAGCAGTTTACCTTTATTTAAGACTTAGGTATTTATTTCGTGTAATTTCAAGTACGTATTATGACGATATATCATTATATAAAACGTAAAAAAGCACCTACTTGATATTATCTACTTAATACGTTACATTGATAACAATACTATGATATAGTATGTATTATAATTGCCAACATATTTAAAGATTATTATAATTATATTCCCTAGTCAAACAACTGTATTTAAAATCCAACTTTTAACATACATATTCAATTCAATTTATTTTCAATTTATTTTATTCGTTACAATATTGCATTGTGTTGAATATTTTTGCAAGTGACAAGAAGATATCCATTACATTCTATTAACGCGTCTTCGTTTAAGATTTCAAAGTGGACATAAATCAAGGATCACAAAGAAAAAGGTTTCGCCAACAAAATTCCCGATTTAG